ACTCTCATCAAGATCGGCTCCAACCTTAGTAGTAGGAGATAAAATCTCCTCAGCAGCAAGCCTTCGGGCCTCGATCGATATAACCTCGAGTTCACTCGGTTCCTCCTCACCACTCCTAAACTCCCGGCTCATCATCTCCCCAATCTCGGCAAGACAAAGCCCATTAGCCGCTGCTTCTTTCAGAAAAACCGTGCAAAGGACTAATACGCGCAGACAACCGTCTCTAATCATGGGGAGCTCACTCCTCAGCATATCTGAGTCACGAGCCGGGTCGAGATTCGCAATGTAATCGAGCTCGTCATCCGAGAAAGGGATCGAGGCCTGTGGCCAGTGGATCCACTCAAAGTATGGGTCCTCCAAGGTCTCAGGCAGGCAGAGACCATGGTCAATCGGGACGAGCTCGACCTGACCGAACTGCCCAGTCCCGTGGAGCTTCCTTACCAAGAGGTTCCCCCCATGTCTGTCCGTATTGAGAATCCTTATGTCCAGAATCCCAATACGGTGAACTGCAGACACAGGGAAACTCGAAGTCCCGTGATCACTCGCATCGAAATCGTGCGGAATGTACTGCTGTAAAGAAGCAATCTTACTAAAGGCTCGTTTTTTCAGAGTCTTGCAGTTCCCGTTCAAGTCATCATTCACGTTGAATATCGGGTGCGTGATTTTGACGAGGGCAGTTGGAGGGACATTCGCAAAATGGCCGTGATCGAGAAGATAAGCGGCCACCTCTCTGAAACCAGTCTCCCCGACCCTGACCGAACGTTTCAAGCCCGGCTGTCCGAGGGCTTTCCCAATAAACCCCTTGGGGTTGTTTGGGGCAAAGGGCTCCTCATCTGTGGGCTTCACGATGGCCACGCTCTCGCCTCTCACGTTTCGGAAAAAGTATGCGCCTCCGAGCCCGCTGTGGATGGGTACCGGGTCGACCCCATTCTTGACCCCTTTGACTATCTCTTTCACGAGCTGCTTGGTCTTGGAGAAACTCGTCGAGTGGCCCAATATCTCGATCATCCCACCAAGCTCCTTCAGCTGGACGTCCCGGCCCGTAGGGGACAGGCAAGGAGTTGACGAGCTACGGTGCATCAAGTTCCGAGTTAGGAGGAGAGGGGAATCATTTCTGACAGCGCTTAGGTCGTTTTTAAGGATCATGTCACCAAAAGTCAAAGAACTTTCCTCGATTGGGAAATTGAGCGCCAGTTGTAATCTCCTTTTCACAGTGTGAGCATTGTCACTCCTGTCGAGCTCCATGCCCAGAACACAGCCAGTTTCAGTTTGAACGAAAACCCGCCTCCTCCCAGTTTGTTTGTTGTCTGATCTGTTGGGCCCACCAAACTCTCC